AGTAAAATAGTGGTCTTACAAACCTACCTTTCGATCACTAAGATGACGATAACTAGTTCACCCTGGTTAAAATACAAAATTATAGAAACGACAAGTCCACTTATCGATGGGGAAAGTTAACGTCAATCAAGCTAAAGTATGATTAATTATGCAACACCCAATCGGCACTCATGTGACACCCAAATCAGCAAAACCACACAGGTACTCTGAATTTTTCCTGAATTCCTTACAGCAAACCATTAAGAGGGTAACCGTAATTAGATCATGATCTCTGTGTTCAATGGGATCGTAACCAGCTAGTTTGACAGTTATGTTCTCTTAAACCCTAGGGAATAAAGTTTTTGGTTCTCCATCTCTTTTTTACGGGAAGTTTCGGGAGAAATCTCGTCAGATTTGGAAGACATTATGCTCCTTCAAAGGACACATACTAGAACTATCATTAACTCATAGTGCAACAAAACGTACTAATATATGCTATAGCAGTTGATTCAAAGCCAGATAAATATGCATTGATGTTCGTCAGGAGTGGCGTTTACTCCGACCGCGGATTAAAAAAGTCCTTTTAGTTTTGGCATTTTTTGAATTTGATTCACTAGTCTTCAGTCTTCAGTAATAAGGATAGAAGGTCGAGTGACCTATTTTAATCCTTGCAGTTTGTTACACTGTGGAGGTCCAATCTCGTCTTGAATATATCAACAGAAGGTGCTGATATTACGTGTTCTGGTAGAGAATTCCAGTAATTCACTACTCGGTGTGAGAAACGAAACTCCAGATGTGGACGATTTGATCTCGGTTTTTGGACTTTCTTTGAATGTCCTCTCAAATGCTCAGCCCTAGACGGGAGGAAAAGATAGGACATGTTAGTACCAAGGTCATCGTTCAGGATACGATATGCCAATATTAGATCACCCCGTATTCGCCGGTAAGATAACGGAAATAAGTTTAGGTGTCTCAGTCTGTCTTCATAAGATAGGCTAGATAAGCCTTTTACCATTTTTGTCCCGCGGCGTTGGACGCGTTCCAACATATCCGCCTCATATTTGAAACAAGGACTCGCTGCTTGAATCCCATATTCCAAATGTGGCCGAACGAAAGTTGGGTATAATAATCTAAACATTTCCCCATCCAGATACCGGAAAGATCTACGAATAGATCATAATGCCCTATAGCCTTTTGCAGCAGCAGCCTTACAGTGACTGGTTGTTTTGAGATCATTACTTAGTATGACTCCTAAATCTTTATAGTTTCTTACTTTGGGCAACACTAGTCCACATAATGTGTAGTGATACGAATCATCGTAGTTATTTAATTGCATCACAACACTTTTATTAGGGTTTACTTCTAGTGACCACCCATTCATCCATGCAACTAGTAAGTTAAGATCTTCTTGTAAAACTATTCTGTCTGACATACTATATATGGGTCTCCAAATCTTAATGTCATCGGCGAATAGTAGGACGGATGACTTAGCTATAGCTGGTAACTAACTAACTAAAATTACAAATTAACATATACTATCGTTATCTACGAGTTTAAAAAGTTGGTCACCTAGAATTTATATATGCAAAAGTAGACTTTTCGGTGTAAATTTATGCGAAGATTAGACTGTTTAATGTAAATAAGGGCGTCAGTTTCAAAATATTTTCCTTCAAAGGACATGAGGAGAGAGAAGTTCAGTATTTCTCCAAGACAAGCAACATTTTGGCACGTTTTCGCTTAATTCCATACCAGAGTTCCTCATAGGGTGTCGCCTCTACTTCCCACTTCTTGTTTCCTTGTGGGTCTTAAAAGTTGACTTGCGAGATTTCATCTACTTAATATACTCAAAAAAACGCTTCGAAGTTAGGACTAACAGTTAGGGTTTGTGATTATGTTTATCACTACGATCTGGAAACCATATATTTTATCCTCACTGGTTATAAAAAGCCACGTCAGGTCCATTTCCAAGTTTAAAACATTAATCTGGCGTCGTATAAAAGATCTACAATTCTTGTGATCTGTTTTTATCACGTTACTTTGAATATTTTCCACTAACTGTTGGTTTCGCCGTATTCACTACAAGGGAAGGATATATAACATCTTAAACGGTTTGATATCTAAGCAAATGGAATCAATACCCATAAGTCTAATAGTCCTAAAAACTTTTTCAACTGCCGTACTACAATAAGCGGTGATTTTCAACCCCAGGTTTCATAGAGAGCAAGTCATTTGTACACAGTTTTTTTACTAACTCATTTACCAGTATGCTAGTATGACTAACTCTTATTGTAATGCATACTCTGCCCCTAGTGCTTAGCATTTGAAATTAAATGTTGGTGAATACTTCCGAAATTCAAGGGAATATTAATGTAGTGACTCACATAATGGCTCTGGAGTTGTTATAAAATAACACTGAAGTCCACAAATGTGTATGGTGTAATATACCCTGGTACGGCCAAGGGTGGGGAGAGTTCGCTCTCCCTCGAAATGCTGTCATATGGCCGCGCGTATATAGCCACTACTAGGGAAATCCTACTCACTGCCTTCTCGCGGCGTTGCTGTTGCTTACGAAATTGAAAGGACGAGAATAGAATGTTTTGAGCCTTAATCGAGTTGGCGGTTACAGATGATTCACCTAGAGAGGCTGTAAACCCTGATTCTAAACTAATGATGCACATGGACTCCAGGATAATAAGGGGACAAATGGAATATGAACCTATTGTTAGTCACCGGCTACCATGGACTACATCTCCTCACGGTGCTCCACTGCCTTGTGGACCAGATCTTTTGGTCAAAGGCTCCGGGTGTGGGCCCCTAAGAAAACCACCTGCTTCAGTTTGAACACCCGAGCAGTACTCCAGCCGTCACACAAATTGGATGGTGTGGCGTATATATATTTGGTGTCTTCTTGTGCCAATGTTTATGTGCGTAAATACTAATACTAAATATAAGACCCTCCAGTTTTGCAAACCACATACAGTAGTTTGCTTAGCTCGTATCATTTAGTACTATTTCACGTCTACGTGAATTATTCTAGTTTTTGGAGAGACTCATTAATCTATCCTTTTTGAGTCGTCATCCACACATACATTTGACCTTGTTAGTTATTCTCCTATAACCCTGATTGTCTTTATGTATGGGCGTATGTGTGCTTGTGTTTACCACTTACCATCTTCGTCACATCGGCTTGTTTTTCTGAGTATATATAAATGTTGAGCTATGCCTGATAAAATTGACTTAGCATGTCTGCTATCTCTGATCCGCTCCGTTTTTCTTATTGTCTGCCTGCGTTAACAGATGTATGAAATGTTTGTATTCAGAAATCTAGTATTTGACTTTTTTTTCAGCTATTTACTAACTTGAATTAAGTCAATGAATATTTATTAGATTAAGTAGAATATGTGTCTCGTTAACATCATTATCAACCGTTCACATGGAGTCAGATCAAATCCCCGATAAGTCCTTCACGAAAAGCGAATGTCCGGCGCCTTAACCGGGTTGGTGGACAAGGCGAGTCCACCTAGAGGAGTTGGAAAACCCTGATTCCAAACCATTGGTGCACATGGGCTCCAGTATCCTGAGGGAACAAATGGCGTAAGAACCAACCGTTGGTCACCGGCTACCATGGGAACTGCATCTCCTCACGGTGCTCCACTGCCTTGTGGATCAGATCTTTCGGTCAAAGGCTCCGGGTGTGGGCCCCTAAGAAAACCACCTGCTTCACTTTGGGCACCTGGGCAGTATCACAGCCCTCAAGCAAATCGAATAAGATTTGTATGGCGCATATGTATTTGGTGTTTCCTTATACCAATATTTATGTGTTTAAATAAATAAATAAATTTCCTTTTCACTGTATTTCCATTTGTGACAAAATGATTGCTTATAAGAGAGTACACAAACTTCACTTTGTATAGTTATCAATAACATAGTGTTATATGAACCAAATAAAGCGTAAAAAAACAGAACATCAAAATGTACCAGATTGTCTAATCTTTTTTATTGTATTTTATTTAAACACATAAATATTGGTACAAGGAAACACCAGATATATATGCGCCATACAAATCTTATTCGATTTGCTTGAGGGCTGTGATACTGCCCAGGTGCCCAAACTGAAGCAGGTGGTTTTCTTAGGGGCCCACACCCGGAGCCTTTGATTAGTACGCCATTTGTTCCCTCAGGATACTGAAGCTCATGTGCACCAATGGTTTGGAATCAGGGTTTTCCAACTCCCCTAGGTGGATCCTCTATATCCACCAACCCGGTTAAAGCACCGGACATTCGCTTTTCGTCATCTCAATTTCGTAAACAACACCCCCACCACGAGAAGGCAGTGACTAGGACTTCCCTGGCAGAGGCTATATGTTCGCTGGCCATGTGAGAGCATTTCGAGAGGGAGAGCGGACTCTCCCCACTCTCGGCCGTACCAGGGCATTTGGGGGCTAATCTTTTACACAAGTTTACACTGTGTAGAGGATAGTATTTAAACGTTTTCTTTTATTTAATATTATAGAAGGGGTTTTGTGGAGATTTAGTATTTATCATTGTTGAAAGCGTGAGTCAATTAAAGCTAGACCACCATGGAAAACCTGGAAACACTGGACGACCGTTTCGTCCTATTATGGGACTCCTCAGCAGTGCGCATCCACGAACCTGCTCTCGCGAGCGAGACTCGAACCCAGGACCTACCAGTCTCGAGCCGAAGCCCTTAACCGATAGACCACTGAGCTGGCATCCAACGGTGTTAATGTCTAACTTCAACTGATCCACGAAGTTGAGCAACCATTCACCAATTGTCTTCAGTGAGTTCCTATCTCACAACAGACGTGGTTGAAGTTAGACATTAACACTGTTGGATGCCAGCTCAGTGGTCTATCGTTTAAGGGCTTCGGCTCGAGACTGGTAGGTCCTGGGTTAGAGTCTCGCTCGCGAGAGCAGGCTCGTGGATGCGCACTGCTGAGGAGTCCCATAATAGGACGAAACGGCCGTCCAGTGTTTCCATGTTTTCCATGGTGGTCTAGCTTCAATTGACTCACGCTTTCAAAAATTTTATTTAATAGACAAAATATAATACGACTGATACGAAACGCGATTTTTCTCTAACAGACTCATTACAATCTAGTCCTTAGTTCTTAAGAAAATTGTTAGTCAGTAAAGGTGCGGTGTCACTTCATCTTTATATTCCCATAAAATCGTTTTCGAAATCTCATATTTATTATTTTGCAATATTAAATGTTTTTGCATACTACAAAGAAACAAATTACATCCTTTAGTTCACACTAGTTTGTAAGAATAGTAATCAATTTTGTTTTGGCATGTCAACCAGGCTAATTGGTTTAAAACCATGATGCACCTTGTTTTGATGCTATGTTATTAAAGAACCTACTCCGATTACTTCGAAGAATCTCTAATGTCCAATGGAGAATGAATAAATTCGTTTAAAGAATCACAACTAATTATATCAATAGTACCATGTTAGCATATATCTAAACAATTATATAAGCATACCATTTTTTCCGCCCGTCTGATTTTATACTGGATTTAATGTCAATAATGTATTTCAAGTCCGAAAGTACAGCAGCATATAGTACCAGCTCTCTGTATCAATACTCCAAGCTGTACTTTGTAATTAATTTTGACAGATTCAAAATAGAAATTAAACGGTTACTTTTAAGAACCAGTAATCGAATGGTGTAATTGTTCCTTTGATTCCATAGTGGGCAATTCCTCAAATTAACCTACATCTGATCATGCACTCTTATATTTAGATGTTCCAAATTTATTCTCCTTTCATTACTTTTTCAGATTATCCATTTAATTGTCTGAAAACGAATATATCTTGAGCAGTATTTTTCTTTCGGATATATATTTATATTCAGCATGGCTCAAGGAAAACTTAAAGTCAAAACCAAATTACCCAAAGGAGTGAAATCCGGTAAAAGTGAAAGGTCTTTACAAAAACAATCCACCAAACCAATGCGCAAAGGGACTCGCGTTATAAAACCAAAAAAAGAAAGACTAAAAGAAGCTCATGAAATGAAGAAGCATATGGAAAAATTGTTAAAAAGATCAGTGGAAAAACAAGCTATTGAGAAAGTGTCGTCTTGTGAACCCCGTTCACTAAAAATTGTAAAAGAATAAATCAATAAAAATGTATATACTCAAGAAGCTTTGTCGTTTTAATTTCCAAGATATACTGATAATTCATTCATAGATTGGGATGCAGACCAATATTATATTGTCTCTAGTAGTAATTCTGTTTCGCCCAAACTTTTCTGTTTGCTCACATTTTGCATGGTGAACCTAAAGCGTGCAGACATCATAGTCTTACTTGATAGAAGCTTCAACCAAATGTTGGGTCTCCCAAGCCCCTGAGATGAAAACCGGAAAAGATTTGGCTTGTAACTGACATCCGTCAAATATAAGATGGTTTAAAACTGATCTACATCTTCACCTAGTTAAAGAATAGGGACTAAAGTCGTTGAGCGAATTATTCAATTTACTTATTCAGAGACGTCCGTCAACTTTATAGAGACAAATACCTACATCTTGTAAGTTGATAAATAAACTGTTTAACTCATAAACCACCACTAAACATTCACCTTGTTACTTTTCTCTTGGTGTATTGATGTAAAATGCTAGAGCTTAGTCTGATATACATTTGTCATAATGTACGTTATTTATATCTTAGTTACTTTTCCTAATCATATTATTCACGCCACTTAGATACTTCGCTTAAGAATATGGTTTTCTTTGTTCATCAGTTGTAATGACTATAATCTATTTTAACCAAATATGGTGGATTCCAATTAACTTCGTACCCTTTACTTTCTTTTTAATTAATGAATGCATATATATCTATTTTATTGCTGGTCTGGTTAGTTGCAATACACAGGCGAAACTATTAGACAAAAAATGTAGTCAGGAATATGTGCCATAAGAATTTGGGATCAGGTCTTGACACAATCGATCCTTAATAATTGCAAGACTATTAGGTTGACGTCAGTCACTCATTTGTCAGAAATCTACGAAATGGTCAGGTGTGATTCTTAAGTTCAGGGTTTGTATAGGTACTTATTGTTTCCCTGATGTTGAGGGTTTAAAGTAACAAACATTGATTTTATGGGCAAATTATGGGGGTTTGTCTATGGAGTAGTCTTTCAGATGACTGAATAGGATGTTGATTGATAAATAAAATCATTTATTTGAACACATAAATATTGGTACAAGGGGGCATCAGATACATATGCGCCACATAATAACAATGAGAAAGGGAAGAGATAAAGAGTGTAAGGTGCGTATAAAAGAAAAAAAGAACAATGAAGACGACAAATTAGTGCGTGGTATTGAAAAAATAATAGTAATGGGGGAGACAGAACAGTACAACCAGAAAGGACGTGAATCTTTTCTCTGAAGATAGGGACAACTGTCGACTCGTTCCATGATTTTGGAACAATCTCTAGCTCCCAAACATTTGTAAACAACGTAGTAGTTCCTTAAACTGGAAATCACCAACATCTTTAAAAAAGCCTAAATAAGTCATCTGGGCCCAGCGATTTGTGGCATTTCAAGAGGTGGAGTTCCTTGCGGACTTCCGCCTCATTTGGTGGATCAGTCGTCACAGGACATGGAGGGCAGGAAAGTCTGATCGATGTTGTCGGAGCAGCAGGCCAGTTGAACTGCCCTTTGAAGAACTCTGTCCATCGTCTTAGACGTCGGTAGATGTCAGTGATTGGCATCCACACAGATTGTTCCACTGACACCATACTTCTTGCTTTCAGTGGATCGGGTGATTTGAAAGAGCTTCCGGCAGTTACTAGATGCAGCTGCTGCTTCCAACTCATCATCACGTGCCGAACACCAGGCTTCTCGGTCCTTGCTCAAGCTTTGCCCAATTTCATTACGTAACGTAAGATTGGCGCAAACAAGAACATGATCACAGTCCAGATAGATACTCCAAAAGGAGCGGCAGTCTCGTACACAACCACGTCAGCAGTAGCTGATAACGATATGATCAATCTGAGTTCAAGCTTGCGATGCAGTGGGAGGACGACAGGTGGCACATTAGTTATGACTGTTACGGTAGTTAGTGCTAACTAGAAACAGGTTATAGTCTGTGCACAGTTGCAGTAGACGGTCCTCGTTATCTGACCTACGACCAACAACTCCCTATCGACCACCTAAACGACTCTCATCTGTACGTAGACGCCCGGCCTGAGCATTCAAGTCTCCGACTAGTATTACAACATCTGTCGAACGTGATTTCTGAAGAAGAACAGTTAACTGGTGGCAAAATTCATCCTTGATCGCACCCGGGCTGCAATCTGTCGCAGAATATGCCAAGATGGCGAAAAACATCGTTTCTCACACCAATTTCTTCTCACTTTGATGAGGCTTTTTAATCTAACAACACATAACCGACTGGTAATGGGGATCCAATCGATTAGTGCTGCCTCAGCTCTAGCGCTTAGTGTGACGCCAACGCCAGCAACACCAGACGAAGATGCCACAGGGTCCCCGGATAAGCGCACGTGAAACAAGCTTTTCGAAGAGACAGATGGAGAACGAATTTTTATTACTTCACTAGAGTCTTGAATACGGGTCTCGGATAGACAGCAGACGTCGATATAAGGGCTTTCTAAAGAAATAGCCAGCCCTATCTGTTGTCTGATCTGCATTAGTGTGCGAACTTTGAAGGAAGCCACTTTGAAGGATGTACGTGGTTTCAGAAAGACTGGTTCAGTATTCGTATTTGGTGGAAGCATTCACCTTCGACCAGACAGTGACTCTAGGTCGTTTAGATAGAACAGAGTTTCCATTGTGGGCTAGATGCTGTATAACTCCAAGGATGAGAGTACATGAAGTTGGAATACGCCATTTGTTCCCTCAGGATACTGGAGCCCATGTGCACCATTAGTTTGGAATCAGGGTTTTCCTACTCCCCTAGGTGAATTATCTGTATCCACCGACCCGGTTACAGCGCCGGACCCTTGTAATCCACCCCTGCCACGAGAAGGCGGTGAGTAGGACTTCCATGGCAGAGGCTATATACGAGTGGCCATGTGAGAGCATTGCGAGAGTGAGAGTAATGGCTTCCACAAAACTGGATTATTGACGTGACTCTCTGACTGAACTGATATGAAGCGAAACCGCTTTCCAGGATAATAGGTCTCCTATCTAATGAAATAACACGATAATATTCAAATTATAAACGGAAAAGTAGTTTAACTCCTAATAATAAATGACTTGAGAATATCAGATTCTAGCTCATTTTTTCGCCAACAGACTCAGACGACTGTTTTGCCTGATTCTCACTCACCATCTCAAGCGTGAGTGTTTGACTTTTTCTGAATTTTCCGTAAAGATAGATCGTGTCGAGTGGAAGCATTTTACTCTGACGCAATGTTCCTACCCGTCTATTAAAAATAGCCTTGAAATTCTATAACTTGGGTCAATAATTAAGATATAAGTCTCTGTGGTCGGATGGAAGCACTTAAAATTTCCCACAATCTTTATCCTTGAAATACGTGAATATTAGCAATTTGATATCATGATTGATTGAATTAGTATTGTGAAGGTCTGTTGTCCAACTGATCTCCCGACTAAACTTCATCACAAAAAGTGGGGATGCTCAAGCGAAGAGAATCTTAGTCAGTGAGATCATTTGCTGGGATTGCATGATCGTATTTATAGTCATATCATCGTATCATTAATATTGGCACTAAAAGTTAATCTAAATTACGTTATACTCAAGAGGTAACAAGAACGAAATAAACGTAAGTAACGGAGACAGGAGAGATGACTCTTCACTTGACAATCATAAGAAAGAAAAAATGCATATATATGTAATGGTGATCATAGTCAAACGCGACTCGACGCCATCTACAATACTACAGAAAAATTAGAAAATGCTACAAATATTTGTCACACCAGCATTGGAATCCTCTAACAATGTTCATTCATGGCTCTATGACATAAACTAAGTACAAATAAAATACAGTAGGATTCCATACTAGATGGAAGGATTTTCGACAACTCGCCGTTTGCTAGTAAGTACACCAATCCAACTAAATTCGTGACAGTTACATTTACCAAAGAGTAATTTTTTGAACATTTGATTTTTACTTTCTTATTTATAAGCCAGGTATCTGAAGTTGAGGTGTCTGTTCATATGGAAGGGTAAATATTTCCTATTATAATTAAAGAATATCAACTACAACATACAATGACGCTCTGGGTAAAGTGAACAATGACTAACCAAATGAGACTGAGAGTATAGTATGGGAGCTGCTGTGCTTAAGCGAAGATTCAAGGAATGCACAAAAACTGGAGGTAACTGTTGAACGAATGTGATAACAACAATAAATAAAATGAATATTAATATTCGATGTAAATACTTAAAAACGCCACACACAATAAGTATGTGTCACACACCATTCGCAAAGGCTACTAGAAGTGAAGCTAGTTGCTGAATATCAGTAGGTAGTATAGGATGATACAGAAAAAGAGAAAACCAATGACAATGTACACGAATTTAACCAGCTGGTTCTGTGGATACATTGGTGTAGAAATATTATGCTGATGAAAAGAAGGTAAGTTAATAATTGAAACAGAACAATACCAATGAATTATGAAATCTAGTCTATTCTTTGATTGGATCGCTTGATGAAGATAAAATTTATTAATAGAATGTTCTGCATAACAGACCGACCACACCATATGATTAGTTGTTAAAGCTTATCAAATATCTCTGAAAGAAATATCCTGTCAAATCACTTCGACACCAAACACAAACGAATTCAACTAATACCTTCGTAGCGGTAAATAAATCCTCTAAATCAATAGCTCTGTAAGTCTCCGACATTTGGTGCTGACCACATCAGTTTTAATGGACTCACCTGGATGAAGGAGCTCGGTCACGCATCCTCACCAAAGCACGAGTGAGAACGCCGTACTCAACTTCTTCTACAATCGATCACAAGTTTAGACTAGTCACTTTTCGATATAACAATATCTTATCAAATATATCTTCGAACCTCTTCGCTTTCGACTTCTGATTTCACTAGGTTGGCACGTTTCGATTATTGAAGGTGTTACTGGTTAAGGTGTTGTCAAGTTCCAAATACTTCTATCGACCGATCCACGTACACAACTCTCAGTAGTGAAAGGACTAGTGCGCG